TAATTTGGTAAATTATGGTCCGAATATCATAAAACTTTGATATCGTTTAAAGGTTGGTACTTTCTACAAGCCATATGGATTTCGTATTTGTATTGCCATCTGTATGTCATCCTACGAATTTATTGAGCGATGTGTTAAATTAATTTTTCATTCGAAAACAGATTGGTTTTGGTCAAACATAGTAGGGCAAGCAGTAAAAAATTAATTTTCAATATTTTCAAATGTGGTTAGGTATAATTTTTTTAAAAAATGTACATAGATGCAAAATCTAGTTTATCATATTTTTATGAGTATTTGCAGCTTCAATAATTTTTCATTTTTAAGAGTTAAACTATTTTTTAAATAAAATGAGTCATAATATTATAACAAATATTGTAATTTTTTTTATACATATGTACATATACGTATATATTTATTGCAAATTAATAAATACCATAAAATATGTGGGACCCGTTTCAAAAAGAGGTATAACTACATTGAAAAAATCTTTAAATAAAAGTAATATTGTTTTAATACTTGCACTTAAAGCTCATAATAATCAATTGTTTGTAGTTTTTCTTTTATGCTTTGGAGTCATTATTTTCATATATTATTTTTAAATCTAAAATAATTAGAAAAGAAAAAGCATAACTGAGTAAGCATACTTATGCATATGAGTATAAATCTGTGGCAATAATGCAAAACTGCCTAATCAGAATTAATGTTTTCGAGACTATATCTACAATGATTTCAATGATTTAAAGTCATTGTTGAAAGAACTTTAAAAAACCGGGCTTCTCGTTTTATATTTCATTATGGAAGTCTAACGTATAATGGGTTTTTATTGAAAAATTATTTTTAAATTTCACCAAATTTTTAAAATCATAAAGATCGATTTATATAAAAAAATAATTTAATCAAATTTTTTGACGAGAATTTTTCTCACTTAAATATTGCCGCTCTAAAATTTTCCGAATTGAATGAAATTTTGCTTAATTATAGATTTTAATTATCATATTGTAAAAATCTTTATTTTGTGCTAAATCAACTTAAGCAATTTCGTCTTATTTCCACAGACTTCAGTTGTATGCAATTTTTTTTAACCTAAAATGTTAAGAGCTTTAGTTAAATTATCAGAAACTACCTACACAATAGGAAAATTTGTAATTGACATTAAAATTATTTATACATTATTTTTAAATGTATATAAATATTTTTCAATTTAATATATGTAAATATTTATTTATTATGTATATACCGTATTCCCAAATAATGTATACATTTATATTATGTATATATGAAATGAGTAAGGTATATAGAAGATTTTTTGTAATTTAATTTGCAAATAAATTAATACATATTACTTATAAATCCATAAAGTTAGACAGAAAGTCTCTATAATCAAATAAAGGTGTAAATGGAAAAACTTAATAAAAAAGATAATGTATTTTTCTTTTTTTGATTAATTTTGAAAAATTTATAAATTTATTAAAAATATTCAATTGTTGTAATGAATAAATAAAATGGCATAATAGTAATTAATTATATTTTTGTGTTAAATAATAAAGATATATATATAAACATATTATTAATGTAAGTAATTTTGTATTATTCAATTAAATATTAAATTAAAAATAAGATTAGAATAGATTTCATTGTTTAATTATGGAATAAGCTATAAAAAATTAAGGTACATGAATGGAAAAGCATAATTTCAGAACTTATTTCAACACTTTACCAATGTAATAAAAAGTTATTACAAACTAGACTAAAAAAAAAAAATAATGTTAAAAATTTGTTTAAACTCATCTGCATTGAATATGGGTAATTAATAGGTAAAATATTTTTTAGAGTTTTAGACAAATTTATAAATATTAATTAAATGGTTAAATTATTTTAAATAAATGGTTAACGAAATGAGCTTGGAAGGCTAAAATAAGATTTGAAAGTAAAATATTAGCTATCGAAAAAAAATTCAATTTAAGTACATTATGTATTTATAAAAACGAATTGTGCAAAGTAAGCTACAAGAAGGTACCATAAGTAAATAATAACATGTTATATATTTGAATCATTTTGAAAATAGGTTTCAAATTAAAATACTTGTAAAAATTTACAAAATTAGAAATTATTACAAATGTAACTAGTGTTTATAAAAATAAAATTATAGATAATTTTTATTATTTTACAAAAATACAAAGAATGCAAGGTAACACAATTACTTATATATATATATAAGTATATATATATGTATGATATATATATATACTTATTAGAAATTTAGATATTGCACCAGACATAACTTATAAGTTATTACTTATGCATTTATTTATTTACTTTAATCGTTATTACACATTTTTATTACACACTACAACATAATATACTTATTGTTTTAAAAACAATGACAAAATTCACAACGAAAAACCTTACTTATATACTTATGTGCATGTATATAATATTTCATATAAGGTTATTTAAATTACATAAATACATAATAAGTATATATAAAATGAAAGAAGATTCAAATACCAAGGTAAAAAACCCTTTTTAATGTTTTCAACTTATTTTTTTTTTTTTAAAATAAGTAAGCATTTAAAATGTTCAAGTTCAGATCAAGTTAAGTGTTATAATTGTAACAAAAGCTTTTTGTAATTAAGTAAACGGATTTTTTTTTTTAAAAAATCATTTTTAAAAAATTCTATTAAAACTTAGATAATAATAGAGTCATTAAGATGGTTGCTGACATTGAAACTTCTTTTATTCTTCTATAATATTTAATTTAAAGAAAAATTAATTTTTATATGTAATTATTAAATCAAGAACTTTTGCCATCCAAAAATTTTATTTTAACTTTTTATTTTAATATTAACTGGATAAGAATGTGTTGATGAAGCACAATTATTGGAATCTATAATTTTACCAGTTTTGCCTTAATACGAATGTAAATTCAAATTGATGGTTTATTTTGAAAGTGACCTAAGACAATTTCGTATAAAAATGAAATATTGCTCCGTTTTGGTTTAAAGTAAACAAAAATTTAATAATATAAGTATAATTTAATTCCCAATCCAACATACGTTAATAAGTTTCAATTCCAACTATTGACATTATCATTGCTTGGCAAACAAAAAAGTGTTGAAATTGTAAATGGACTTCGAATCACTTTCAAAATAAACCAATCAACTATTAATTTATGTTCACAATTTTATAAGTTATCATAACATTAATATATGCACTTAAACTTTTTTAATTACTTACATACTTTGTGTTTTATATTTATTAGTATTTAAGTTGAAATACTTAATCAAAAAGTAACACAAAATTTATTGAACCCTAAATTATTTACGTATAATGTAAGTCAATAAAGTAAATCAAAATTTTAATTTGAAATAATCAAATAGTAAAAAAAAAAATTATTTATTTTTTTAATAAATATTTATTTAAATTATAATTAATATTAGCTTATGTACTTAAAGCGAGAAACTGAATTTAAATATATGAAAGAAAATAATAAATTTATAAAAACAATTATTTATGTAAATAAATTCGTTTACGTTCATTATATCGAAATTGATTCGTACAACAAGGTCACAAACAGAAAAAGAAATAAATGCATCGGTACTAGGTACGTTTTATAATTGAACAGCGCTGCCATAACGTCTGGTTTTGTTTTTCTTCTTTTTTTTTTTGGTTAAATACATAAGTATTTATTTTTATTCGCAAATTGTAGGCATGCATAAATTTTTATATTATACATATATGTTTGTATCGATGTATATAGAAAGATACCAAGTAATATGTTCTTAAAAGGCAAGATTTTATTCAAGCACATATTAATATTAGCTTAAAATAAAAATTTAAAAATAAAATAATCTCTTCATAATAAGAACAATAATTAATATTAATTTAAGGTAGGTAATATTAATAAGGTAGGTATAATATAACCACCCTGTATATAATATATACAGGGTGTTTTCTTATAATGATGCATTGGTATGTATAGGTACCAGTATGTAGATCTTTGTTAGTAATTGTTGCACAATATTCCTCTACTACAATCGGTTTAAGACATAGGAGCTTAAACGCAAAAAAATTTTGTTGCCGACTTTAATTGATAATAGACTATAGCTCAAGGTCTTTTAGATATAACGGTAATTTTAAGTATGCACTAGAAATCTGACGTAGCATGCTTTTATTTTAGTTTGTTGACACAACAATAATGTAAAATTAATTTAGTTTTTGAATTTTTTTTTTTGTGAATGAATTTGACTCGCGGTCTTACTTTTGTCAATAACATTTTTTGGCGACTTTTTATAAAAAGTGAAATTTTCCAGTTTTTACCCTTTCAAGAATGAAAAATTTAACAGCAAGGCTATCTACATACTTATCTAGTAAATATTTTATTTGCTCAAATACTCTTTTAAAAATTTAAATATTGATTAAATTAAATTTAAAACTGTTTTATGCAAAATAATTCTTTACTAAGTTCTCGGGCAAGTTAGTAAATTAGATTCTTTTTATGAATAGACTCACAAAATTTAAAATGTAAAATATAAGTAGGTATATTTAAATTAAGTGAACAATGTTAAATTTGCTGCGAATATACAAACACGCTCGAGGCGTTTCTGTCTTACCAAATGTAAAAAATATTTAATGAAAACATAAAATTAGTTTCTTTGTTTTAGGAATACATACTTTATTTATAATTTATACACATACATACTTGTGTTATTTATGTAAAAATAAGAAAAACAAATAATCTAAATATTTAAAAATTATTATTCAAAAACTATTAACGCTACAACCAATATTCAAAACAAAGGATTTTGTTTTAATTTTTTCCTCAAGGATCTAAATATAGAACAATGAAAACAAATCCTTTAACTAAAATGTTAAGTAAAGTGTATGCAAAGTATTTGAACAAATTTTTAAAAATTCTAATGGGTAACTACCCACTACTGAAATATGTATAAAAATTTATCAATATTACATATTAACAAAAAATATGAATTTAAATTTACCTTTTACCATCAATTCCAGCTATTAAAACGACATCACATAATTGTTCATTATATAAATAATTTTGCATACTTTTCAATATATTTTCAGCATGGTCGTGATTTCTAAAAAATTCCTCTTGACTAACAGCAGAATTTAAACTACCCACACTATAATCTCTTGATAAAGATTCATCAAGTGCGATTAAACTAAGTCTTGCACCACTTGATGTGGATTCTCTACTAGGGCTTTCTTTACTTGACATTTTTATTTAATAATTTTTATTCTTTAATTCTCTTAATATTAAATATCACTTATTAAAATTTGGATATAAATTGAATTAAAAACTTAATTTAATTTTTTAATATTAAATCTTTTAGTATATTCAAAAGATTTCTAATAAAAGATTTTTTAATTTTTTTTTGTTTTTTCTTTTTTTATTCTTCTTTGTACACGTATTTTATTTTTCACTAATCTTTAACTCCATTAGTCCATTAGTGCAAATTTTTTTGATTTAATTTTCAGATTTCTTTTTATATTTTAGTCTCTATATAATTATCCAACATTATCAATCGAACGCTCAATATATACTAAAGTTAATTAATGGAATTATTCATGATTTTTTAAAAGAATTTTTTCAAAACGCACAATTTACTCGCCTATTCTTTTCTTTTCTTAATACATTTTTATATTCTAAATCTAGATTTTGGCACATAGATTGTATGTGTGTGCAAATTTAAAGAATTATTGTCTTTAGTGTTTTTATTAATTAAAATAATGTCTTAAACTAAACTATACCAAAACAATTAATATTGCTTTGTTTTATTTCAAATTTAAGCAGGAAATATTTTTGGAATGATTTTGAAATAAAGAAAACTTTTAAATTTAAAAAAAAAACATAAAAAATTTTTAATACAAATATGAAAGAAATCAAATTTAAATACACAAAGCTAAATATTTATTTTCTATATTTGACGTTTAAAATATTTGACAAAGAGTACAATTCTTTGACACAATTAAGATTTAAAGGTTAGTTTAGAGACAAAGAGAAATATAACTTTTATCGTTTTAAAAGTGGAACTCAATCAAATTATTTTTTTTTTGTTTTGAATAGTAATTGATTATTCTCAGTTTTTCAAACATTTTCAAATTCAATTGGAAAATATAATTTTCTTTTAATAAGAACTTTTTCCTCCCTTTTGTTACATACTTAAATCTAAAGGCTGGATTCAATGCTTCTTTGTTTGTAAAGTAAGTGAAATTTAAAATTGTACATACATGCGAATTAGGATTGGACGATAATATCGAAATACATTCCAATTCCTCGATATTTAAAATTCAAATATCTATCGATACGTCTTTACTGATATTCGTCGATTTTATCTTTCATATTTTTCTCTATTGATATAAATTTAGTTTTCTGTTCGATTTGAATTTAAAATCTTGTTGTCTTGATTTATAGGGTAGAAATTAGATGTTATCTTTGACTTTTACAATTAAAATACTGAAAGTATCTATAAATCGATTATATTTTTGGGAATATATCTAGTAAACGATATCTACAGGTTGTGAATATATATTTATTCAATGTTTTATTAATATATAAATTAACTTTTTGCCAATTTGCAGAAAAATGTGTTAAATTATGTTTTCATTCTCTAGGCTATCCACACATGATAATATAACATATAATTTGTATTGTTTCGGTTATTTTTATATTAGTAATTATTAGTCATTGAATTCGTTTAAAATTTTAATGTTCTTTTCCTAATGGACACTAATTGCAAAAAAATTTTATCGAAAAAGTCTTTGAAACGTGATAAATTTGAGTGTAATTATTATGTACTCGCTCGAAGTTGGTGCGAGTTATTTTAAAATTAAACCTGTTTTATTGAACAACTTGTGATATTAATTCATATTAGATCTTTTGTGTTGTTACCCAACATTTACACATGCAAGTTACTTGCAAGCAAGTTTGTATAATATTAATTGTCAATTAGTTTTTCGAAATGTCAAATTACTTGCTATTATGACGTAGGCGTTTAGCAAGTTAATTTTTGAAAATGTCTTTGAGAAGAAAACAACTAGCAATATATATAATTGTTTATAAATTTTAGAAACCATAAGTTTGCTAAGTTTAATTTTTTCAAAACAAAATTCAAAAATTTTAAATTAAAAAAAAAAAAATCAAAACAACAAATTTTTTTTTGTGAATTTCTCAATATGTCAAATTACTTGCTCAAATTACTGGCAGCAAAATTTTCTTGCAAGTTGAACTGCAAGTAAACAAGCAAGTAGAAATATTTCAATGTGTTAGTAAAATTTTTGTATGTATTGCAACTTTCTTGCAAGTAACTTGTACGTGTAAATGCTGGGTTACAATATCATAATAGTACAAATTATGTTGGAAAATTCCGCGAGGAGAATCTATAATTTTGACAACTCAAATTGTCAAAAAATCCATCAAGTTATATTTAAATGACAATCTAAAATGTCAAATTAAATTATAATGTAAGTTACTATGTATGGTTAAGTTAGTATAGCTTGAGTAATACAAATTAGTTATAACTTAACGATAATATAAAAATTGTGAAAATTAATTTATATCTGATAATTAATATTTAGTACATCTGCTAAAAAATGATTAGCGCAATGGATTCGGTTGAAATGCCAAAATTACCGGAAAATCACAAATCATTTGCCGGAATACCAGAAGCAATTTTCGTTGTAAGTATAAAATGAGTTTTGGTCATTGAAATGCATAAAAGTTATCGTTTTGGATTATAGAACTTTTTTTTAACTCTTATGTTCTTTTATCTTAAAACCATTACCATTTTTTTTCTTCCTAAAATGTCCTAATCAATAATATTTTGCCATAAGGTAAATTTTCTCTTATCGTCATACGGAATTTTAAATGTGCTTACTTGTTTGTATTTTGATATACATATGCACAATCATACATATGGGTACTTTCATATGGGTACGTGATCATACCATGTTTGGTGTCGCGTAACGTGCTTATTGTAATGCATACGAAGTTTTAAAAATAAGAGAATTTAAGTAAAGAACTGATAAATTAAAAAGATACTACGTGCAATATTTTTAACCACTCGCATCCAAATAACTTTCCTTAGCATATATTAAAACTTTAATTGGTTTATTATTTATTTAGTTCTAAGGTCCAAAATGAGTTGCGTAAAATATTTACTTCGATTTACTTAATTGCGAATATTTCGAACGCTATTTTCTTATTATTTGAATACCAACCTAAATAAACACATTTCTTGCATTTTAGGAAGATATAGATGCATTTATGGCACAATCAGAAAATGATAATAATTGTGAAAAAGTTTTGCAAAAGTTAGATGAACAACATGGAAAGTATAAATTTATGGAATTTAATTTAGATGTTCGTCGACGTAAGTTAAAGCAGCAAATACCAGATTTATTAAAATCATTAGAAATGATTAAAGTTTTACGAGAACAAAAAGAAGATAAAGATAGTCATTTTATGTTAAGTGATCAAGTTTTTGTTAAAACAGTTTTACCACCAACTAAAAACGTCTGCTTGTGGTTGGGTGCTAATGTAATGCTCGAATACCCGTTAGATGAAGCAGAAAGTTTATTGAAACAAAATATGGAGTCAGCTATTGCAAATTTAAAAAGCGTAGAATTTGATCAAGACTTTTTAAGGTAGAAGATCAATTTGTTTTTGAAATCAATGTGAAATATATTTTTTGATTATTGCTTTTATTCTTCAGTTCACTTGAATAAAGTAATACTTTTTAAATAAATAGTATTACGGTGACTTATATTTTTCATATTTTTATCATTCCTATTACATTTGCATTTTTTTTCTAATTTTTTTAGGGATCAGCTAACTACTACTGAAGTAAATATGGCTAGAGTTTATAACTGGGGTGTTAAAAAACGTCAAAGCGCAGCGAAAAATTCAGGAAGCTCTTAAATCATTAAAAGAAAATTTAATATAAGTTTATTTAAGCAAATAAAATTTGATATTTTTACTTTTAGCATTTGCTTTTCTAAGGATACATAAAAAATGCATTAATACTTTGTTTACTCTTCATTAACTCTAATCACCAAAAATAAGATTATCTATAAAAAAATTAATTCTGTTACAAATAAATTTTTCTTTCTAAAATTGACTGAGTGTATTTTTTTTAATCTATAAATTTGAAAAAAAACATTTAGTTTATTAGCGCAATTAATGCTCATACCTGTGGGTTTTTTAAAATACCTGAATACTATTATTATTCTAAAAGTACCTTTATGTAAAGTACATATTAGGATTTACGTTTTTACAAATCAACTTTATTCTTAAATACGTGCACGTATATTTTATGCTATAAGAGTATGCAACCACAACTATAATTTGGGGACTAATAAATTTTTGAATAGCTATTATCATAATATTGTTTTTAATTTAAATTACGGTGATTTATAAGTTTATAATATGAAGGTCTCTTCCAAATAAATTAATTGGTTCGTATTTAACCGCAAGATCCATTTAGTTAATCAAGAAGATAAAAGGTACAAAAAAATGCGGATTCAACCAGAGAATTCTGGTTCAATAGAATTAAACCAGAAGGTGAAACCTTGTAGAATTTCCAAGTAAGATAAATCTATAAACTGGTCATAGCAATTAAATTTCTATTTTATTTGGTTTTATTTCTTAAGCTGTATTGCGCACGTGGAATTCAAGGTAATTGAATGTTTTTATTAAAAATATGAATTAAGAAAAGAAAAAAAATGTTTTTTGTTTTTGATTATTTACAATTACAGTATCGTTTTTTTTTTAATTTTTTTAATCTTTTTATGTACAATATACAATAGTACTTGAACACTAAAATATTTTATTGGAAAAAAAAACTATTGAATTGCTTTTTGTGAGTTATTTTGTATTCTGTAAATTATTTTTAATTAATAATTAGTATTATTATTGTAACTTTTTTATTTTTATTTTTCAGAAATTTCTTTTCAAAGCAGTCTATAAGCAATGTTTAATTTTTATCCTTACATAATTTGAATTTTTAACAGGACAATACAAAGCGAGTTAGGAAAAATAAAGAACAGACTTAATTAAACAATCCTTAAACAAACAATAAAGAAAAGTTATTTTTTTCATTCTCTTTTTAGTGTTATCTAAATTTCAATATAAATTTAAAAACTACATTCCATTAAAAATATCTAATTACTTTTTAAGTTACTTTTTTCAATGTACAATTGTTAATATAAAGGATTTTATATTTATTTAAAAATTGTTTTTAAAATAATTTATTATTTTTATAATTTTTATTAAAAACTAAAAAAAAAAAAAATGGCAAAAATGGCTCAAAAAATAATTAAGTTTCTTTTTTCTTTATGTATATATGTTTATGTATGTATATATTTATTTTCTAACGAAAATAACTAGTTTAGATTATTAAATTAATTGTAAATGTATATAAATATTTCTGTATATATATATTGCAACTAAATTTTTTATAATATGTAGTTTAAATTTTTAATAATTTTTTTTTTGTCTTCTATTTATTATACGAAATTTAAATTAATAAATTTGTTTAACTTTTTAGGTTCAAAATTTATTGTTTAAGTATTTTAATTTACATTAATACTATAATAATTCGTTTTAGTTTTTTAATGATTTTTTTTAAGCTAAATAATAGTGTCTTCGTTATTTTAATTTCAAAAGAAAATTTCAACAACAAAATTGCAAAAACTTAAAGACGTAATTACAATCTATAAAAAGATATTAACAAATTTTTACCAAATATGAAAATGTAAAACTATGTAACATTTAAGAAACTAAGAAAGTAGAATTTTAAAAAACAAATTTATAATATTTTGCAGTTGTAAGTGAAATTTGCATTATAGTTTTTATGTTTCTTCCATATTCTAATATTATTGCAAAAAAAATATGGAAGGTATTTTGTTTACTTTTTTAAATTAAAATGTTTTTAATTTTAATATGCAAAATTACGTACGGTTTGTTTGACTTTTAATAAATTATTAAGAATTTAATTATATTTTTTTTAAATTTCTAATTAAAAATAAAGACTCAAATTTTAAATGGAACAAAAAAAATTTATATATATATATATAATTTATTGTTAACCAAATTTTTAAATTATTTTGCATTTAGAATTAAAAATTTGTAACAAACGACTAAAATTTATAACTAGAAATAAAATAATTGTTTTGTTTTTTTAGTTTAATGTTGACTTCAAGATTTTCATAAATTATTTTGTAAAAATGATAATAATTTTGTTTCATAATGTTTACTAGCTTCCAGATTACGTAATGAATGACGTTCATTTGGATAAACTTGTAATTGGTATGGTTTATTTGCTTTTACCAATGCTGTTATTAATTGTGAAGTATGATAAAAGTGAACATTTTCATCAATAAGTCCGTGTATTATTAACAATCGATTATCCCTAAAAAATTAATTTGTAATAAAGATAAACATATATGAAGTCTTCGTTTCAATAAAAAAAATTAATCAATGACTTACTCATCTGGAAATTTATGTATATAATTAAGCACCGAACCAGCTAAATATCCTTGTGGATTATTTTGGGGTAAATCCATATATCTTTCTGTATAACCAGTATCATAGTATTCCCAATTAGTAACAGGAGCACCAGCAACCGCAACTTTAAAAATATCAGAGTGTTGCACTAGTCCCATTAAACTTAAATAGCCGCCTTAAACAAATACCGAAATATTTCTTGTCTATTTTAAAATAAAATAAAAAAGTAGATTCAAATTTTTACCGTACGACCAACCGTGTATAGCAACCCGATTGATATCAATATAACCCAATTGATCTGCTAGAATTTTTAAAACTTCAACTTGATCTTGCAATTCCACTTGACCCATACGACATCTTAAATGACTTTCAAATTTAACTCCACGGTGTCTACTTCCTCTTGAATCAACACAAACAACGCAATAACCTTGAGCGGCTAACATATGCATTCGAAGTTGCCGCATTCCCTATTTCATTAATATTATAAGATTTGTTTTTTTTATTTATTTTATTAAATGAAATATTATACCTTAAAAGTGTTATTAACTGTTTGAACTTCAGGACCACCATATACATTTAACACAGTTGGATACTTAGTACCTAGTTGAAAATTATGAGGTTTAAAAACCATGGCATATAAAATATCACCAGTTGATAATTGCGGTCGATAAATTTGCGGGCAATATTGCGATTCTGGAACACCACCTTCCAATAAGTAACCCATTAATGATAAAGTAATACCACCGACTCCACCATTTTGACAAGTTTGTTGTATTTTCAAAATTTTGCACGATGGAAGACGTTGAATATTACAATAAACTTGCAACATTAAAGTACATTCCTGTAAGTTGTTATATATTATAACATCTCTATTTTTTTTTATATAAAAAAATTATTTACTAACATCGTTTAATTCAATAGAATATGAATATCCAGGTTCAGTTAGAAGACGAATATATCCAGGTCTTTGCAAACTAACAACGTATAAATGTTTTTCTAAAGGCGTTTCTTTTAAACCTAAAAAATATACTAATTGATTGGGCTTGTCTACCCAGATATTTCTACCTAAAACTTCCCATTCTCCACAAGTCAATGCAACCTATAATTAAATTTAATTTGTGTATGAAACTGAAAAACATTACAAATAATAAAAATTTTACTTTGTTTACAATGCGCGGTATTAGGGAAGCACTATCAATATTTTCTGAATTTTCATTATTTACTGAGGTTTCAGAACAACCATTTAATGTCTTAATTAAGTTGTGTGTAGGGCTACAATTGCTTTCATTTGCGACTGCCAGACTAGACGTAATTAAATATAAATGACGGAAACCAGTTTCTTCTGATGCCCAAATAAAAGTACAAGTTGATTCATTAATTTCCAAAAAATTCAATGTATCATGAATGTTTATCCACGTATCAGATGTTTGCGAATATATAACCTACAAACATAATAAATAATACTTAATAAAACCATAATTATGAATTATTCAATTACCTGTAATGGACTAATAATCTTGTTATATGGTGATTTCCAGCTATGGTCTCCACTAGCAGGGGATGAGGGTGTGCTATTATAAGTGTCGCAAAAATTGTCGACAGGTATAAGTATTATATCCAAACGTTGCTGCTTTCTGTTGAGACCTTGTATCCAAACACTATTTTTATATAAAAATTATTTAACATTTCCAAAAATTATATAAGTATTAATAATACTTTTTTGAATCTGGTGTCCACCCTACTCTAACAATATATTCCAACCAAGGAAAAACCCCGCTCAATGAATACGGTAAATCTTTCACACAAATATCTGATATTTTTAATCTTTCATTTAATCTAAATTGAACCATTTTAAGTTTTGACTTAGCATTGGGTGTTCCTGCTCTTGGAAACCTATATTCTTCATATTCTCCTACTCCACTTTGCGATGAAGGAAAAGTGAACAAACATACTTCGGATTCGTCAACTTCTTCGTACACTATTCTATATATCCCTTTTGCGTGATCTAAATGTAACATTTGTGTAAAAAATATTAATATTTAAAAATTTTAATAACCTTCGCTGTACGGTTGCCACCAGTATCCTTGATATCGACTAAATTCTTCTTGCATAACATAAGATGGCACACCAGCACTCAATGGATCATCAACAAAATTTCTTCTGCCATCATGCGCTAATGTCAACCGGTCGTCTTGACCAGTCATAGTATGTGTAACCCAAATATCTCCTCCGCTTACATATGCTACTAAATCAGAATTTTGCGGACAAATTTGAGGATCTAAAGCAGCCCAGTTCGTACAAATTCGTAATTGACTTGGAAATAAGGGTCCATTCTACAAAAATTTATTTTTAAGTAATATTCTATTTAAATTTTTAAACATTTTTTAACCTCATATCCTAGATCTAAACACTGATATAAATTACTGGATGCAGGAAAAACAATTTTACCACTTGGTTTGTGTAACTCATAGGAAGTTATACCCCAAGTGGATAAACGTTTCCGTTCTAATAGTAATTGCACTTCCCGGGAATAAACACTATTCGAAACATTTGATATAGATGGTTCTAATACTAAATTCCAGTGCAATCTAGAATTAAAGAAAAGTTTTAAATATTGAATTGATAAATTTAGTTAAAATAAAACCTTTTGGGTTGGGATGTGTCATTTGGATTAACATCAGTATATAACAAAGTTGTTTCCCAACCATTAGGTGGGGTACTCAAAAAGTATATTCTAACGCGTCCATCAGATAATGTTCGGAAACTGATATTCATCGGTACCATACTCGACAAATTCGCTAGTTGTTTACGTAGTTCGCTTACAACTGCTTTTAATTCAGACCAAGATTTTTTTGAGTTATTACTTAATGAGTTAGATCCGCTTTGCAACAATATTTGCTGCGATCTTCTCATTGAGCTGTCCATTTTTCTATTTTTCAGTTCTATTTTTCTTCCACTGTATAGTCACTTGAATTTGTATTTTTTTCTTATTTAATATAAGAACTTTTTGGAACACAAGAATATTTGATAGCAAAACAAATAGTTCACTATTCTAACTAGTTTAAAATCACTACAAACACGAATTTTTTATTATTTTTTAATAGAATTCATTTTCAAAAAAAGTTTTATTGAATAAATTTTAATAAATCAAAACTAAACTAATTCGCCTAAATATCTTATAAGAGAAAGTTTCTTTAAAGTTTGACAAGAGGAACGTCATATTTGATGTTGATTTTACACTTTTTGTTTGATTTTTTTTTTTTAAACAAGACTCGATCACAACAAAAACACATGAGTAAAAAAAGTCGTAAACAGCAGAATTGCCAAACTAAATAAGCACAGATTTTTTTTTAAGTTTTTTAAATAAAGATTTCCGAAGTACTAGTTATTTGCTTACAAGCTTTCACTGATTTTGTTCAACCATGTAAAACAAAAATGAATGAAAATTCTATTTCTAATTGCTTATAATATTATAATTTTAATTTTATTTCCTTGTCTTTTTATAACAGTAATATTTTAGAATGTTTTAAAGTCTGAGTAACTAATTTAATAAAAAATAGACAGTTAGGGTATTCCCTATTTAATAAGACGATAGTAAATCAACGAAATTTACTTATAGCCTTAGCTTTAGTTCTTAATTTTTTTGCTTTCACTAAACTATTAAAATTAAATAGTCAAAAATCTTATGGCTATAAAAATATACTCGGTATATTTATTATAACTCATTTATCTGTTTCGAGAATCGTTCCAAAAACAGCTGCTCGAAGGTTCGTTTACCTTAAACCCATATAATATAATTTTTGTATAGTCAAGTAACTATACAAAGTATACATATGCGTGTACGAATTGTAAATATGTATATACATATAATTTATATTGCCTAATCCCATATATATTTATTTAACAATTGTGTTTACTTTTATTATTATACGAGTAGTCCTAGTTTTTAAAATAGGTTAAGTTTTATTTAGTTTCCTAAGAAACCTATTAATATGGAAATAAATTAATTTGCTTTGTAATATTTAAAAGAAATTTTTCAAAAATATTTCAAAATATTTTATAAATTGAATATTTTAAAATTTTTTTTCTATTTAGAATTCAAAAGATCTGGAAGTGATTAGGTGCTCCTGCAATTGGGAATACATCTGTATATGACTTAGCAGGACTATTCGGTGCTCGAATTATTTAAGAAGAAGGAATTAAAAAAGCTAACTGGAGGAATGAATTATATTTGTAGTTTTGAAGTACATGGAAAAGTACAAGGTAATAAGAAATATATCTAATGGTACCTTAATGTTAACATATGCAGGTAAATATATACATACATACATACATTTATTCTTATTACCGGTGTTTTTTAGGAGTCTTTTTCCGAAAGGTAAGAAAGTAAAACATACATACCTACATATTGTGTAAGTGTTATTTGTTTAAATTTTGTATTGCAAGCAGTATACATGTAAAACTGCAAAAGCTTTAAAATTACGAGGATGGTGCATGAATACTGAAAATCAAACTGTTAAAGGACAGTTGGAGGGACCCGAACAAGAAATTAGAAAAATGTATGTATGTATGTATGTATGTATATGCAAATATAAACTTCCATATATACTATTTATTTTAGGCAAGAGTGGTTATCTAGTGTTGGAAGTCCAAAGAGCGTAATTCATAAAGCTGAATTCTCTGAGTTAAGTGTGTCCGACTCACAATTTAAAGACTTTGTTATTAGAAAATAAATTACATGTATAAAAGTAATGAGCACTTAAGAATACTTCAGAGATTTTGTAGTTTAAATAAATAATTGAACATCAGATAATCAAAAAATTGTTTTTCGATTTTAATGTCAAATTAATTTTATAAATATTATTTTATTAAATTTGTAAATATAAGCGTGAAAGCTTTATGTATTACTAGCACAATAATTCAGCTGGAAGACAAATATTTATCCGAGAATCGTTTTTGCAATTAAATAACCCTTGAAAAATACATACTTTGTAGATATGTACATATATACATATGTATACATAAAGCTCAATTATCGTTGAACTACTATTATTATTATTTTTGTGAGAGTTTTCTATTTATTATGTACTGCAACATTTCAGTTTCTTTAAAATTTTAAATAGGTAAATGCAAATTACATAAGCAAGTGGTATTTTATTTACTTATAAACTATGAGCAATGGTTAATAAAAATTTATTTTTACGAACTCCACTTATGCTTACTTTTCTTGCAAAAATTATTCATTCGCAAGAATTTTCAACTGGTGGAGCTGCGATGGCCAATTACATCTGTGATTTTGAAGTTTTTGGGGTAGTTCAAGGTAATTCAATAATATTTTAGATTTTTAAAATATTTTTTATGCACATAAATACATATTTTTAAGGAGTGTTTTTTAGAAAGGTAAGGAACTACAATAAATAAATAGGTTTTTAAAAGAAGTTTTAAATAATCAATAACAAAAACAATTAAACAGTATACTCAAGAAGCAGCCAAAACATTTAATTTAAGGGGATGGTGCAAGTTATATATTCGCTTACGCCCGGAACACCAAAAAATAAAATTTAACTATAACTAAAATTAAATCGAACGTTGCGATCAAATTTCCATACTTTATTACTTAAACCTATTCTAAATCATTTAATCGCAACGTGATTTGACAAAAACAAAATATTTATTTTAAATTAAAATTAAAATTCAACGTTGCAATTAAACTCCTATATGAAATCATTTAATTGCAACGTGATTGAACTTTTACAGACAAAACTAAAGCAAAGTTCCAAATATTCAAATTACAATATTAAAACTTTCCCATGAGAATTATTCTAAACAATTTTTTGCTTACTAAACAGTTATTTCTTATAAATAGAGTAAATTCAATAGCAGCTTTGCTTGGTTGGTAATTCAGTAGCTCGTTAGTTATTAAATCGTTTTGCCGTTTAGAAAATAAAGATTTAAAAATATAGTTTAATTTAATAAGTTTGGAATTGGAAATTAAAGTGTAATTAATTAATAAATGAAATAAAAAGAACTTTTATAAATCTTAAAATATTTTTTGTGTAAAGTAAAAACTTATAGTTTAATTTAATAAGTTTGGAATTGGAAATTAAAGTGTAATTAATTAATAAATGAAATAAAAAGAACTTTTATAAATCTTAAAATATTTTTTTTGTGTAAAGTAAAAACTTATAATTTAATTGGCGCAGTCGGTAGGATACCGACTCCGTCTATAAAAACAAAAAAAAAAAAATCTAAACAAAAAAAAAGAAAACACTAACATTTTTCTTAAGTCAATTTAAATGAACAAAAAACTAGAAAATAAAATAGTGTAATGCTCAAACCATTAAGCAAAATTAAATAATAATAATAAAAAAAAATTTTGTGGTGAACCGAGTGATAAAAGTTTAGTTGTGTAAAGGCGGAGAACTTTTTTCAAAAAGTTAATTCGGTAAATAAACGAACAAAAAATTATAAGTAAAACACAAATAAAATATCTATTAAAAGATCTTTAATCAAATCAAATTTTACAACTAATTAAATTGATAAAACAAAAATTATAAAAAAAAAAAAAAAAAAAAAAAAAAAAAAAAAAAAAAAAAAAAAAAAAAAAAAAAAAAAAACCAAAATATTTTTTTTTTTTTTTAACATTTATGAAGAAAAGTGAAAAAGAAAAATACTTTGATAATCTAAAAAATATACAAAAAAATTTTAACATGTCACTTGCTGCAATTACATTAAAAGACTTGATAGGCGAAGCTCGTTCAGTACCAATTTTTACTGGACAAGACGCCTACAGTCTAAAATCCTTCATCGAAGAAGTCGAAAGTTTAATTGCCTTAGCAGCGGATGCCGATGCAAAAAACTATCTATACAGAATTTTGTACAGCAAGATCCAGGGTCCTGCAGCGGCAGCAATCCGGAGAATTCAGGAAAAAACTTGGGACGAAGTAAAACAACAACTGAAAGCTACCTTCGGAGTACAGAAATCTTATTTGAAATTAAAAGAAGAAGCAGACTGTATAATTTTTAGAAATGTAAGTGATCTTTATGTTAAATTAAATTCCATATTAAATTTGTTAAATTTAAAATATGATTTGGATGACAATAAATCTTCAGAATTTAATCCAATTAATAATGAAAATTCAATATTAGAAAAATTTTTGAATAAATTAAATAGAGTAGACTCAATGTACCTTAGAACTAAAAATGTAACAACATTAGAAGACGCTTATAGAAGCTTATTAGAAACCAATATATCCGACAGCAAGGTTCCAAACACCAACTCTCAGTATAGGAACAATAATCATACAAATTACAGAAATAACCATAACATAAATTCTAGACATAGTAGTAATAATACAAATTCCAGAAATAACTATAGAAACGCAAATAGAACTTTCAACAATAACAATTACAATAACAACATAAGAAACACTTACACAAATAGACCAATGGACAGAAACTACACTACTAACGAAAAGTTTAGGAATTTTAGGCCCAACCAACAGTTTGGTGGTACAGGTAATAATCTACCAGGACCATCTTATAACGAAAATCGGTCAAGTCCAGTTCCAATGGATGTGGATTCGGGTTCCACAGAAAATTTTCACTGTGGTCCCCCTATCCGACATTACCCTTAGTAGACTTAACAATGGAAGGCAAAAGGCTGACCTGTCTGATCGACACAGGATCAGTTACTTCAATTATAAACGGCAATATTTTTGATCGATCTAAACAAAACAAATTAGAAAATCCAATTCAATTAAAAACACTCGCAGGAAACCAAGCCATTAAATACGAAATAACTACAAAAGTACCTGACGAGTTCAATGAAAATTCAACTATGTCCTGGAAAGTAATGGATCTTAGCAATAAAAACTTTGACGCTCTCTTAGGCCAAAATATTTTAAAACCAATAGGAGCAAATATTAATCTTTCAAAGGAGCGGTTAGAAATTAACAACCGTAATATTAAATTTAATTCAGCTTGTCCTTTTGAAAACACTTGTCAAATAGAACCTTTACAAATCAACCATAATGAATTATTTGAAAAATTATTAAATAAAAATATGAATAGAGAAGAAACTAAATCATTAAAATATATTTTAAACTCTAATAAGGATCTTTTCTATAAAGAAGGAGATCGATTAACATGTGTCAGAAGTGTAAAACATCAAATAATTACAACTACTTCCCAACCGATTTATAGTAAAATATATCGGTTTCCAAAAATACATGAAGAGGAAGTAAATAAGCAAGTTCAGGAAATGTTAGAGCAAAATATTATTCAACCATCCAGTAGCCCTTATAATAGCCCTATATGGGTAGTACCCAAAAAATTGGACTACTCAGGGAAACAAAAATGGCGCATTGTCATCGACTACCGTAAATTAAATGAAATTACGGTTGATGACAAATTCCCGATACCGAATATAGATTCTATATTTGATAAATTGGGTCGGGCTCAATATTTCACCACTCTGGACCTCGCAAAGGGGTTTCGCCAGATATTGGTGGATGAAAAAGATCGTCTAAAGACCGCGTTTTCTACACCGCAAGGTCACTTTGAGTTTGTACGGATGCCATTCGGACTAAAGAATGCTCCGGCAACTTTTCAAAGGATGATCAATTACGTTTTAAAGGACTTTATCGGGCGAATTTGCGTTGTCTATCTAGATGACATCCTTATTTTCTCTACATCACTACAAGAACACCTCTCAGCTATTAATAAAATATTTTCAAAATTAAGAGAGTTCAATCTAAAAATCCAAGTGGATAAGTGCAAATTTTTCTCTAAAGAGACAGAGTATTTAGGACACATATTAACACCAGAGGGAATAAAGCCAAACGAAGATAAAATTAATGTAATTAAACAAATCAAACTGCCTAAGACTCCCAAGCAGATAAAAAGTTTCCTAGGCATTACGGGGTACTATCGCAAGTTCATCAAGGACTATGCGAAAGTAGCTCAGCCTATGACTAAATATTTGAAAAAGGGAAATAAAATCAATGAAAATGATATACAATATAAAGACTCCTTTCAAAAATTAAAAGAATTGATTACAACTTATCCTATACTTCGTTACCCTGATTTTAAAAAGAAATTTGTATTAACAACGGACGCGTCCAACTTTGCAATTGGAGCGGTCCTATCACAAGAAAACCACCCAATCTGCTTCGCTAGCAGAACCCTTAATAATCATGAATGCAATTACTCTACTATAGAGAAGGAACTTCTTGCCATAGTATGGGCCACTAAATATTTTCGGCCATACTTATATGGTACAAAATTTTTAATAAGAACAGACCACCAACCCTTAAAATGGTTGCATTCACTAAAAGAACCGAACGCCAAACTACAAAGATGGCGAATCAGATTAAACGAATACGACTTCGAAATAGACTATGTAAAAGGAAGAGAAAATCGTGTTGCTGATTTTTTAAGTAGAATGGATTCTACAAATAATGAAATTAATCATATAGATGACCCTAACGAAACACCTTCTAATAATTCAGTTATAACAACAAACCATAGTCGCCATGAAAATCAATTCCCAACATCCGATATAATAATTAATAAATATTTGACGCAGCTTTATTTGACAAAAGAAAAAGAAAGGGAAATAATTATAAAATATAAAAAATTTAGACAAATCTTTATTAGTGAAAATGAAATCAATAATAGCCATTATTTAAATGACATACTTAGACGATTCATTAGAAATGGAATAACTGCTATCTATTCCGAATTAAATGATGAAAAATTTGATATAGTAAAACAGAAACTCACGGAACTCTTTTCTAATAATAATAAAATGAAATTCATAAAATGTACTAAAAAAGCAATAGACATAGAAAATGAAGAAGAGGCTTTAAAATTAATAGAAAAAATTCATAAAGAATCAAACCATCGAGGTATCGTTGAAAATTATACAGAAGTGAAAGATGAGTTTTTCTTCCCTAAACTTAAGGAACTATTTCATAAGTATATAAACAGTTGCGACATATGTAATCAATCAAAATATGATCGCAAACCAAATAAATATAGATTCGAAATTTCCGAAACCCCGAGCTCTCCTAATAAAATAATACACGTCGATTTATTTTTCTGTTATAAGGAAATATTTCTTACAATAATTGACAAATTCTCAAGGCATTTAATGGTCCAACGTCTTAATGACCGAAATGCAACTACTATTATACAAGCACTTCGCAACAGGTTTGCACTATTCGGTAGGCCAGATAAAATCGTTGTCGACAATGAGTTCGATAGTCTTAATATCAAAAACTTCTTTAGAACAGAAAATATAAACGCTCACTTTACGTCACCCAGAAGCCATACCGGAAATTCTACAATCGAACGAGCTCACGGAACTTTAAGCGAACACCTTCGTATCTTAGATACACAAAAATCACATTTAACACCGTATGAAAAAATATTATTCGCAGTCGAAAAATATAATAATTCCATTCACTCTGTAACTAAAGTTAAGCCTATAAACTTTGTAAATAACGAAATAACCGATATTGAAAAAATTAGAAAATTAATTGATGAAAATAAACTTAAAACGATTGGAAAACTAAACAAAGATAGGATAGACCCTGACTATAAAGAAGGAGACAAAGTTCTTGTAAAAAATCCCGAAGCTCTAAGATATAAACATAAAAGGAAATATACGTATATTAAATCTAAATTAATTAACGGTAAATTAAAAGATAACCAGAATAGAAATATTCACCCAAGTAGATTAAAAAGAAATTTTAAATTTTCCTCAGGTAACCCAGAAACGGACTCCACTCAACCACTACCACAACAAACTTAAATTAGCACTACTAATTTTACTCCTCACTTCAAATACTTGTTCTGCAAATATTGACGTTCGGGTATTGGAAAATCGGGGTGGATTCCAACTAATCAAACGGGAAGAAATTCCTATAATTCAAAACTATTCTAAAATTCTTCACTTTATAAATATTAGCGAACTAGAAAATACTTTAGCACAAATTGAAAATAATATTTACAACACTTTTAACCAAGACAATACCACATTAAAACAATTACAAATTCAAATCGAAAAAACTCGACATAACATTAAAACATTACTACCACACAGACAAAAACGAGGACTCATTAATTTAGGTGGCAAAATTTTAAAATGGTTATTTGGAAACTTAGACGATGATGACAAAACTGAAATTGTAGAAAACATAAAACTTATTGAACAGGGAAATTACAACTCCATTCAGACCATAAATAAACAGATTAAAATAAACGACCAATTTCAGAAAAACCTAAATATTCTACAGAAACGAATTAACGAAAACCAAGAAATTTTAAATATTACACTGAGAGAACAAAACAACACCTTTAGCAAAAGCATAAAAAGTTTACAGTTTCTTTCTAGTTACACAAATATTAACTTACTAAATTCAGAAATAGACAAAGTCCAACAAAACATTCTTTTCGCTAAACATGGTATCATGACTCACTCCATTTTATCCAATGAAGAAATTGATGAATTTGAAATCGATGTTTTTAAATATAAAGAAATAAAAAGTTCACTTATTAGTCTAGATAATAATATTATTTTTGCCATTTTGATTCCTAACGTTGCAAAGGAACTTGCAGTTGGATATAAAATTATTCCAGTACCTAACAAAAATTTCGAGGAAATAAACATTGAATCTACTAATATATTGAAATTTAAAAATGAAATTTACTTTAATAATAAACAGAATTGTGAAAATAAACTAAAAGTAATAAATGGTTGTATAAAAAATTTAATGAATAATAATTTTAAGAATTGTACAAAAAGGAAAAATATTAATTTTGAGATTGTGGAAGTTTCATCTAATATTATCTTAGTAAAAAATGCAAATAATGTAATGTTAGAAAATACTTGTAATAACATACAATACAAACTAATTAAAACTAACTTAATTACATATTATAATTGCACTATAAAAATAGATGACGTAATATTCAAAAACATAGAGAGAAAAATTAACAACCACATAATAATACCAAACTATTTAGAACCTTATAATGTTAGTTATATACCAAATTTAGAAAATATTAATTTGAAGCAAATTGAAAATTACAATGAAATAGAATTTGTAAAATTTGAAATTAAAAACCATTATATTTTAATACTGTCAAATATCTCTATTGTATTGCTTTTAATAATTTTTATTACAAAATACTATATGAAAAAATTTTATAAATGTAAAAAACGGCCAAACGATACAAATGAAAATAATAGTAAAGGAAATATAATCTCTGGAGCTCAGGAGAGCTTCCAGCTTAACGAGGGGGGAGTTATATATTCGCTTACGCCCGGAACACCAAAAAATAAAATTTAACTATAACTAAAATTAAATCGAACGTTGCGATCAAATTTCCATACTTTATTACTTAAACCTATTCTAAATCATTTAATCGCAACGTGATTTGACAAAAACAAAATATTTATTTTAAATTAAAATTAAAATTCAACGTTGCAATTAAACTCCTATATGAAATCATTTAATTGCAACGTGATTGAACTTTTACAGACAAAACTAAAGCAAAGTTCCAAATATTCAAATTACAATATTAAAACTTTCCCATGAGAATTATTCTAAACAATTTTTTGCTTACTAAACAGTTATTTCTTATAAATAGAGTAAATTCAATAGCAGCTTTGCTTGGTTGGTAATTCAGTAGCTCGTTAGTTATTAAATCGTTTTGCCGTTTAGAAAATAAAGATTTAAAAATATAGTTTAATTTAATAAGTTTGGAATTGGAAATTAAAGTGTAATTAATTAATAAATGAAATAAAAAGAACTTTTATAAATCTTAAAATATTTTTTGTGTAAAGTAAAAACTTATAGTTTAATTTAATAAGTTTGGAATTGGAAATTAAAGTGTAATTAATTAATAAATGAAATAAAAAGAACTTTTATAAATCTTAAAATATTTTTTTTGTGTAAAGTAAAAACTTATAATTTAATTTGCATGAACACATCAGCTGGTACGGTTAAAGGGCAAATGGAAGGCGAAGCAAGCAAAATTAAAGAAATGTAAGGACAAATGAGTACTTATTTAGTAATAAACTATGTATATTTTAATCTTTCAATATTAGGCAACATTGGTTAAAAACAACAGGAAGTCCACAAAGTCGTATTGACAAAGCAGTTTTTTCAGAGATTAAAGAAATAAATGAAACTAAATTTACAGAATTTAAAATTGTACATTGATTCTTTGTCAAAGAGATTTACGGTTTTATTTTTTAATAGATAGTTCAATTTGATTAAGGCATGTAGGTATACATATGTCTGCATGAATGTATTTATTTCTAAATTAAGTAGTTTTTCCTTTTCAAATTTGTTTTTGTTTGAAATAAAACGCAACATTCTTTAATAAAATGTTTATAAGTATGTATTTACATTCACTTTTTTTTTACACTGCTGCTATTTCTTTAGGTTTTTCTTCTTTTATGCCGGCATCTAATTCTTTTTGATTTTGAGCTTCAACTCCACTATCAATTTTTTCCACATCTTTTTCTGGTTCGTCGTACACACGATACGTTATTGGGGAAGGTTCTTTAGGTGGAAACCAATCTGGAATAATTTTATCATGTAATCTCCATATGCCGTAAGTGTTGGAAATGTGTTTTTCGAAAACGACATATTCTAAAACATCTTTAGCAAGAATCTCACTACCATGCATTAAACGGCCGAAACGGTCGTAAATGGCTAACGATTGTTGGGTGTGAAACCGAACTGTAATTTGGGCGAAAAGATTTTCTTTAGAAATTACATCAGTAACTCTTGCATGGACTACTCTTGGAGGTTCTAGTGATTGTAAAAATTTCCAATGTATTGTTTTGTCTCGTACATTATGCATCATTTCTGGGTAGGCACGTTCAGTTATATACTCTCGCAATGCGTATTTTTCTTTATTAGCCATATGTGTATGAGCTTTAATATAAATGTCTTGCGCATTTTGGGCAAACTGATCTGTATCGAAATCGTCTTCATAACCTTTTACTTTCCGAATTGCCAGCATACTTTTTGACTTTTTTTCCAGAAACTCGAATTTTTGTTTTGCACCTCCACTTGATATTATTGATTTCTTACCATCACCTTCAGGTGGGACGTACGCTTCGAAAATTCCACCTGTACAACTAATATGAAATGGACGTTCCATCCATGGCCTTGGAGGTAATAATCCTCTTTCTTTTAATCTGCTGCGAATTTCTTCAGGTGTAAGGTCATCTTTTTTCTCCTGAAAATTAGGCAACTCAACTTTAACGAATTTCTTTTTGCGAAGAAGTTTAAACTTCGGGTCGTAGTGTTTGGTTCTCCTATATCGAACTTGAATAAATTGATTACAAGATTGAATTGCTAAGGGTACAAAACTGTTTGACTGCAAAAATAAAATTATTTTTTATATAGTTTCACCTCTCTATAAATGAAATTTGTTAGTTACCTTGTATAAATTTAAACAAATTTTTTGTGAATTTCTTAACAGTTCCATTTAATTTATTTTGTAAAAGTGATGAGAAAAAAAAGAAAATAAAAACAACTATTGATAATTGGTACGTACATATGTAAGTAGAATGAAAATTTAAAAATTAGGTTATGTCGTAAATCAGCTGTTTATGATTTTTTTTTTTGTTATGAAAACGACTCTCGAATAGTTGTCAATTACAGTTCTTGCGAAAAAGTAATTGCATATATTTTGGCTTATTTCATTTAATCATGATGCATACATCCAAATTTTTATAACCTGGTAACAAGTCCAATTTTGATTTTTATACTGGGAATGGAACCGCAAAAAGCACTCAGGGTAAAAGTGGCCTCGTTCATATTTGTTATATTGTTAACAGTTAAAACACAATCCTGATTGACAAAATTAAACTTTTTTGCGCTTTATTATTATTTATTTTTGTAAATGATAAAAGCATATTAATGCAAAATATACATACCTACGTTTATTAGCCCATTGCTTTAATATAATATTATATAAAGGAACAAAACCGCCTACATATTTAGTTTTTTTCAATAGACAATGTTTTTTACAATGTAAAAATTCTAATTTTTGATAAAATTTCTTATTTCGTTTCTGAAATAAGAATTAGTCCTTTGTTTTAACAAAAGGACTATTTAATAAAAACAGAAATAATAATGTGTTTTCAATTCATGGAAATATGCAAATTTAAAACTCGATTAACTCATTAAATTTAATTGTATTTAAATCCCATATTAAAATATACTTGTTCTGAAGCCCTACATGATTTCGTCTTTTTTTAGTATATTGAAAAAATGATTACATATTTATTTGTGGTTAATTTCCTTATTTTATATTACAATTTAAACGAAAACTGAAACTTTGAAACATGTATTAATTACAAAAATATATGAATAACTCCTTTTGTCCATTATACTTTATTTTAGCAAAACCAGGGAAGAGCCATTTCAATAAAATTTATCGCCATTATACTTGTTTCGAAGGATTCACTAAACGGAGAGATTTTACATTAATCATAAGACCGTTGTACAATTTAGATGATAATTTATTCAAAAATACTTTGATGGTAATGAATAATGGAAAAAGTTCACCTATATTCTGTAAGTTACATCACTTGAGATGATGGGATATTATTGAAAAATACTTTTTTTTTATCAATATAGAATTTAAAATTTTGTATTTGATTTTATTCTGAAAAACACAAATTTTTTGAATAACAACCAATTACGTCAATAGATGCGACAAACAGGATATGGGTAATTGATACATTTTAAATAATATTAATATTTTGAATTAATTATTAATTATATTTGAATTCGAATAGGGTAAATATTTGAAGGACCTTTAATAAAAAAAAGTATTAATATTAATTACAAAAATTTGTGTAATTTTAAAATAGAATATATTTTTAATTTTCTTAACCTTTCTAAGAAGTTTTCTTAAATTCATTTCTTTCTATTCTTTCTAAAAATTAATAAATAAATTATTTACTAAATTCTAATATATTGAAATTTTCTTTAAAACATTTATGCATATTCGAATTTGTATTTGTTTTTCTTGTTTTTTTTTTATAATTAATTTTACAAATTCTAGTATTTGAAAGTAAATTTTATATCTTAAAGATAGATTATCTAGAGTAACACAATATTAAATAAATATAGATTTTGTATATTTATAAACTTATGAAATCCTGTTTAAATCCAAATCACATTATATGTTTAAATCAAAAAGTTAAATAGGAAAAGCCATATTATAATATGTATGTTACATATGAAGTTTTAAAAAAAAAGCTTACAAAGAATAAAATTATTAAAATCGAAAAACTCTTGATTAGATCCTTATTACACTAGATTTAAGACAAAGATCATGAAAAGTACTTTCATTAAAATTTTTGATTAGATTGAGATATCATATAGTAATTGAAAAAAATACGAGTATGTGTGTATAAAATTAAACAAAACTGCTACTCGGCTGATCTAAATAAGCATTTTTAGCTGAAGATATTTCATTATTATTTAACGCTCTTCTAGCGGGAATTAAATCGGCTATTGTTGTTGCTGATTGCGATAATTGTAAAATATTTGTTTGATTTGAGGCATTTTGTCCCCAATTCGATGGTTTGATGGGTAATATCTTAGGTTTTGGTGGAAGGGGTGGCGGTCCTCTTAATAAGTTTGTAATATTATTATCATTATTGTCAACATCATCATTAAAATCTACTATAGAACTATTAGGTGAACTCAAATTTTCAATACTTTTGCTAGTGTTGCTGCTACTGCTATTATCATTACCAATAATATTTTCATCATCTTTTTGTTGATTGCCAGTTTTGGTGTTGCTGTAACTAATACTAGTATTAGTATTGCTATTGTTGTTTTTGTCATTGTTATCACTATTAATATTGCTGTTGTTTTTTGTGTTATTGGTAGCGCCAAAGTGTGTACGATTTGATGTTATAGCGATTGAACTGGCACTTTTAGTTATGGATAATCTTGGAGCTGGTTGCGGGCGATCTTTTGATGAATCTAAACTATTACGATTTGTAGTTTCATTTCCATTATTTGATGTGGTTTTCACTAAATTTCCACCTGATATAATATTTGAATTATGATTTGTTATTGGATTTAAATTTGCACGAATTTTCCTTAATTTATTAGCTGCACTTAAATTAGCTTTATCTTTTAAAAAATCTGGTAATTCGAAGTTTATTTCAGTTCCACGTTGATCTTCAAGACGTGCTCTCTGGGCACGTTTTAAACCTTCTAAGAATTCTTCTACAAAATAAAATAAAAAAATTGATTACTACATAATGATATAGGTAATGAAAGAAATTATAAAGTAGACAAATTTACATTTAATAACATACATAAATATGAAGATAACACACATATATGCATGCAACAAAAAATTAAAAGATACGTAAGAAAAAAATAAAGGAATAAAAAAATTAACAAAGTACAAAAAAAGCAAATGAAGCTAGCTACCTTGATTATGAGCTCGTGCTGTTACCTGCAGTTTAACACCAGTTTTCCATTTAGCAATTAAAGGCTTTTTTATACCAGTTAAATTTGAATTTGATGATTGCATGTTATTATTGGTACTATTATTATTGTTATTATTTACATTGAGATTTTCATCCGTTTGTGTAGTAATTGAATTAGATGTTTGGGTTTTTTCTACATTAAATTTACTTGTAGTATTTATGGTCAATGGTTTCTTTGGTTTAATAAAATTTTTAGCAGTAGCTGCATTTAAATCACGAAATTTTGTCTGATCATAGATGGAAGATGACTCTGAAGCACATTCATCAGACTGTTTTGATAAAAAGTATTTAAAAAAGTTTATATTATGCTAAACTTTTTTTAATATTTGAAAACTTAATTATTGAACATTTATATTTGATTAATTCTATATAACACTTATAAGAGCTAATACAATAAATTATGCTAAAACGATTTTATTGAAATTAGTGAATTAAAAGAGCACAAAGAAAATTTGAACACATAATAAAACATTTAAATCAAATGGAATGATATGAAAAAAGGAAATTTAATTATTTTAAACTTACTCTCAATGAACAGAGATCGACAGATTTCGGCATATTGTTTTCTTGTGAATCCACTTTTCCTTGAAGAACTTCAGTAAATACTTTATTTGTAATTTCGTCTAAGGTACTTTGATGATTTGATTGAATGCCTAATGATTTCGGCACACTTAACAAATTATTTTTATTTGATGGTAAATAACTTTTACTGATTGCACCTAAATTATGCTGATATGTATCCGGTACTGCTGCTGTTGCAATTGGTGAGCAACTTGAAGTTGTTAATAACAAACCATTTCTTTTTTGCAATTGTTGTTGTTTCCATAAATTGTTTCCATTTCTTAACAAAACAACACTTAATCTTTGACCATCAATGGCGGTTACTGGTAACGATAATTCGATTTGTTCATGAGTATCTCGCATTAAGATTTGTACATCTTCGAAACGATAATTATACTTCTGCAAAATTGGTTTCAAAACATCACATAACGCTTTTTTGGGTTTACTTTTTACAGAAATAACTTTTGGATCTGGCAAATCCAATTTAAATGCAATACGTTGCTCAACTTGAACTTCTTTACTCATTAAAATATTTGAGGAGCTATCTAAATCTAGTGCTTTACCATTTGGACTTAAAATTACATCAAAAAATTGATATTTAAAACCACGTTTCTCCAAAAGACGTTCAATTAACTGTCGTACAGTTTGATCTGGACGCGTTAATGTAACTGTTGCAGCTCCATCGGAAAATATCACACGACAAAAGTTTCTTTTTGATTCTTCGGATCCGCTATTAAAAGCTGTATTAGGGTTTGATGTCAAACATGTGTTAGCATCAAAACTAGATAGAGAGCTGCGTGAACTATGTATATCGCTGGTTGAATTTGTATGCGGTAATTTCAAAGTATTGCCACTAGATGATTGAGATTTACTTAAAGGATTAATTTCAGAATTATTATCTGCCACACCGTTATCATTATTATTATTTGTTCGATCACGGGACTTACAACGTACTTTCCTATGCCATGGCAATAAACTTTTACGTCGACGATCTTCAGCATTACTTGCCGATTTTTTCAACTAAAATGTAAAAGAAAAACAAATTTTACTTTAAAATCAATTTAAGTTAATAACATTATTGATAATATTTAAATGACTTACTTTTGAAGGGCCCGGTGAGTTCAACATATTACTAGTTTTCAATGAATCACTTAAATTTTCTCCGGTATATGGTAATGGTTGATTTTTAGCCTCTGCTTCTAAACATTTTTTATATAAATCAGAACGAATAAATCTTTGATAGCTATCAAATTTCATTAAATTATAAATTTGTTTTTGAGCATAATTAAATATATTTCTATCGGCAGATTCTAATTTCTCTTCAGCTAAACTTCTTGCTTGTGAATCAACATTAACTGGTTCACATGCACCTGTACCCAAATGTTTCGAGTATATTTCAATTGCTTTTTGTGCACGTTCATTATCATCATTTATATGATGGTAACGTTCACATGCAGTCCAAAAATATATATTTTCAGCAGAAAATTCTTTTTTCAAAAATTCAGCAAAAGTATGTAAACCGGCAGGATCTTCTAATAGTTTTTCAAATGAATTGCCCCATATTTGAACTCGATGATTTGATGAAAATTTATTACTTGAATTTGTTGGTAAATGTATGTTATGATTATTATTACTATTATTTTGTTGTGCATTGATTGCATTTAAAAAATTTATTGCTAATGCTTTAGTACGTCCGATTTGTATATCTGCACCACCATCACTATGGCTATGTATTGAATTGACATCATCGTTTATAAAATCATCCATTGATTTTGTATAAACATCATTTTCAGATGCAGCTAACGATGATGGTCTTCTAGATATTGTTGGTCTTTGATCTGGTGTTGTACGTACAGTACGAAATGATGATTGACCCCAGCGGCGAAATGGTGATGAATTTGTTGATGGTAAAGCTCGAGACTAAAATATAAGAAAAGAAAAATGAAAATTAAAATAAATATTCATATAGGTAAGGTAATTCTTATGTAATTTTTATATGTCAAACGATTTTAAATTCGATTATTATTCAGCAAAAGTATGTACATGCATATACATACACATATTTTAGGTTTTATTAGATTACGTACATATATTTGTCAATTTTTCAATCCATGATACAGACATCAATGAATTTATTAAGATTATGGCTTAAATTTTGTACAATTTTCATGATTAAAACTATTATATAAATTTTAATTTCATAATAATTGTCAAAAAATTATTTTGTTTTCATGTTCCTCATTACATTATTTTTGTTTATTTCTTATACAGATATAATTGCAAATACTCAAGTAAAATTGCCTATACACACCAAATATATTACATTTTAAGGAAACTAGCGTTTAATATTTTCGTCTTTTTAAATATTAAAGTAAATAAATTTCATACTGAATTATTCAATTATTAATCATAATTTTTAAGTGTTTGTTTGCTATGTAGCGCCATGAAAATTGATTAAATTCTACCTAAAGATAAAAAAAATTGATATTTAAGTTTCAAATGAAAAAAAAATTTGTTTAATGTTAAAATTTCGTCATCGTTTAATAAAATATTGACTCTTTATTATATTTAATGAATTTCCAGATTTTTTGTTACATAAAGTTAAAAATTAGAATTGAAAAATAAAATGGTAAAATAAATAAACAAAAATAATAAATTTTGTCATTTAAAGAAGACGTCATTTTCTAATGTCATTAAAAAATAATTTTGTGAATAGACAGTTGATTAAAAAAATATATTTTATAAAATTTGATTAAAGTGAAAAGGTGTCTAAATGTTAAATATTTTCAAAAAAAAAAAATCTAAAAAAATTATATAATAACCATTTTGAATCCGCTTGTTCCGAACTTATTTTTAATTACGTCATTAAATTGAATGCGCATTTCATTAACTAATATTCGATTGGTATACTGACGTAGTCGATTTTGAATATTACATGCACACACACTATTTATAACATTTATTTACATATATGTATGTATGTATGTACTTATGTGTAAACATATATGTAATACGTTTTTTATATTACGAGCAATACTATATTATTTTTTATTATAAGGTAAACAAATATATTTGAAACGAAGAAAATAGGTTATAAAACTTAATCCAATTTAATCTTAAACCAAATGCGAAAATAAAAATATTTAATTTGCTAAAAAAATTTTTTATCAAATTTTCAATTGAACAGAAAAAAAAATTTTTTTTTGTTTTCTAAATATTCTATAGATTTTGTGAACTAATTTCGCTTTGAAGCTTCTAAATTATACTAAAATTGAAAAAAAATATAGGTTTGTTTTGTGGCGCAATTCAATTAGCTACAACTTCAATTAGTCATTTTTTAATAATGCACCTTATCTGCTATCAATTTCGCGTTTCATTGAACAAAACCAAGGAGAGAGCGACAAGAAATGGCAACCATAAAATTAAAAAAAAAAAAAAATTGAAGAAAAGAACGGATAAAAAGGTGGAACTTTTATGAAAACAAAAAAAAAAACAAAATCCGATGTGAACAGCACATAACCGACCATATTGCTAAAGTATTGCATAAGATTATGAAATATTACTTTAAATACATTTATTTCAAATTCTATGAAAAATAGAATTGCCTTAAAAGTTGATCAAACCGTCTTATCCTCAAAGTAATTTCAGATATAAATTTTTATAATAACTTGACATACTGATCTGCACAAGAGATCTCTAAAAATAGTTCAATAACGGTTGATTACGACATGCATTTCCGCCGAAAACTCGATATGTGAAATTTGGTGTTATCACATCACCTCTCTTATTGTATTCAATCCGGTCGGTAAAAACATGAATTATAAAAGATAAAGAAATTATTTCAAAATAAAAAAGTTCTTATCAAATTTAAATGATAAATACGAATAAAATAAAGGAGGCAAATTACGTTTAATTTTTTTTTTTTTACATTTTGCAAATTTATACAAAATATATTTAATATGAGACGGAAACAAGAAATATTAAAAAATTTCACTACCAAGTAATTATGATTTTGATAACAGGAAGTATTTGGATTAAAGAGAAATCAATAAAAAAAAAAGTAATAAATAATTTTTTGTTACGATTTAACATTAATTGGATATTGTGGTGTTGTTAAAATTTATGAAAATAAATTTTTCTTTAGATTAAAATGAATAAAAAAAATTCAACATGAAATTTTGAGGGACAGTTAAAGTAAAATATTTAACTTCAATCTCAGAACACGACAGATTCAAAGAGCAGTAGACTTACATTATACATTTAATTATTGATTGCATGAAATACAAAATAGGGCAGCAAAAATTTCAATATTTACTATTAATAGTAAAATAATATTGTTCTAAACGGACTTGAATAAATTTTGAAGACTTAAGAAATGTCATTTAAATAACAGTTAATTGGCTGGTAAGATATGTAAGTAATTATCTTTAACAATAATGTGTTATTCTATGATTTGACAGTCTTATAAAATTAAAATTGGGATACAATTACACATTTTTGAATCGATTTGCAGATTTCTTAAAAATAAATCGAATTTTATATAACCAGAAATTTTATTTTAATGAATTGAAAATTTTTGTCGTAAGCATTAAGTACATCATATTTACAATGACACGAAATTATGAAATTAATTACCATTTTTAATGATTGCAAAAATATAAAAAAAAAATTGCAATTTTAATTATTTATTTTAAATAATTTAATAAATTTTCTTAATTTAATTACAAATTACTTTATTAATTTTTATTAATTGTTTTTTGCAATTAAAAAAAAAATGATAAGATTTAATCAGAGGAAAATGAAATAAGTAGCTTAACGATTACTGGATATTTTATTATTGTGATGAGTGATTTAAATTTAAAATTTGGTTGTTTCCAAAATTATTAATATTGAAGACAATGAACTGGTAATAAAGAAATTTTTTGAGATTACTTATATAGTGAAAACTAAATTTCAATGTTATCTTTAATATCTTGATTTTACGATCTTATTTGAATAATATTTATACTACATTAATATAAGTAAATTATTAATTGATCTGTCATCTCAAATTTTGTACATTGGTACCCAAAAATTATCATAAAAATTGAATTTTTGGAAATAAACAAAAATATTTTTATTTTAATTTTTAATTAAATAAATTCTAATAAGCGTTTTATTTTTGGTGAATTTTCTTATATGTACGACAATACATTATTGATGGTTCAACAAAGTAAGTAATCCATTCATAATTTTATTTTTTTTTTTGAATACAAACAAATTGTAAATTTTTAATACAGATTGATAACCTTTGACAGGAAGCTGACGAACTTACGTTATTATGAAATTTTATGCTTTATTTTGATTTTAAATTTTATATTTTATTAAAAAATTTGAAATAATTACAAAAATTCTTGAACATTTTGAAATAGATTTTTAGAATTCTAAATTTTTGTTCTATTATGGAAATTATCATACTTGTATTATTGATTTTTAATAATGAGATGTTACAACCGTACAGAATGAAAAAAAAATACCTCATACCTCAAATTTAAAATGTGATGCATGTGCAAAATGTTTCTGTACAGTTGTAATGACAAAGAATCGTTGACTTAACACATTAGAATATTAGTACTTAAATCTAAGAATTTTAAATCTAGATATAAGAATTTGTAATATCCAAGGTATTAGAATTTAATTTTAATATTGTTCGTAATTGTCTTATACATGTTTAGATAAAATAATAATTTTTTTTCCTTACTTTTCCTTACTTTATGTTTGGTTTTAATTTAAAGTAAGTCCAGTTACTTAAATTCATCAATGTATAAATTATAATAGAACAATAGGGTTAAAATTAAATTTTTTTGCTAATGAAATTGTTTTACGTTCCAGTGAGTTTCTTAGTACATACATGTACATTTTATACAATTATTATTAAAATATATATATAAGTTTGACAGGGCATTTGTGCTCATATGAGTTTTTTTATTTATATATTAAAAATATTAAAAAAATAATAATTTTATTCTTACACTTTCGTTATTTGTTGAAAAGATTTCATCTTCTTTAATGAATCCCATAAGAGCAACAGAAGTGCTGAGGTCATTGTTTGATGTTAATAACATTTTTAATTACTTTTTAAGTATTTTGTTATATTTTATTTTCTATATTTTTATTTAAATGTTTAATATAATAAAAAAAATTGTTTATTATTATGCAATAATAATTTTAAGCAATTAATAAAATGTAATTTAAATTTAGAAAATAATCATTTTCAGAAACGATTACGATACTTCGGACATCAACAGAATTTAATGTTTTTTTTTTTGTTTTTTCCTATTTTTACTTCAATTTTCTATGTATTCAATCATAAAATGAAATTAAATATGAAAAATTATTATACAAACTTCTGTTAAAAATATAAAAAGAATTACAAAATGTAAAACATAAAGCACAAAATATATTTAGAAAATAAAAATGAATTGAGTAACGAACGCATGGTTTGAGCTCAGATCTTTCAACATTATTTTGATCAGTTTTAATTGCATATTTATATTGTTTATAAAATTAAATACTGAAAAGTAACATAAATTTCAGTGTACCTTCAGGGCTAGAATAGTTTTCTACACTGAAGTTGCAGGAGTTTTTTTTTTCTTAAATGTACTTTTCTAGTTTAAATTTTTGTTTTAAGCTAATTTTCTTATTCAATAAAAAAATAAGTGTGATCATGTAATGCAAAAGCTTTTGAAATCAAATGCAATAAGCAAGAGAGAATATCGTAAATTTTAGTCTGCAATCCTTGTTTTGGTAGAAGTATTACCACGGGATTAGATTAGTCTTTTATATAGGTCGATACGTAGAATTATTTGTGATTTACATTGAACTAATTCCTATGCTCTTAATAAAATTTAATATTGTTGCTTTTAATTTTTAAAATTTTT